CCGCCGGGCAATGCCATGGCTGTGCGTGTGCTCTGACTCCCGGCGCGCCACCAGGGAGACGGCTCCCCGGCCGGACGTGGCTGATGTTTTCTTGTTTCTGTTTCAGCCTTCAGGAGCATTCCTTCGGCAGCAGCGCCGGGACCGAGTAAGTCATTCTTGCCATGAAAATAAGACTCGCGTGCATGCCTTTTCTCTGGCAGGCAGCAACTCTCTTGCAGGTGTCTGCCACCGTCGCCAGCCTCTCTCCCCGTTGATCCCATGCATTGTCTCCGAGCAAGCTGGACTTGCTTGACTGATGGGCCCAGGACTCTTGACGAATTGAAAGCAGCCTTGTAGCAGCTGCGGGAGAGAAATGAAAACAAACGGAAGGCATTCGAGAGCCGAATGCTCCTAGAGCTGAGCTCTTGGAGTGAAGATATTAAAAAACAAAAATCTATTTGACAGGTCCGAAAGGATGCTTGGCTGTATTTCGCCGACGCTGGCGTCAGTTTTCGTGGAGTGCGTGCGGTATACATTTACAGCAAATAGGAAATGGGTGTGACATTACTTGAGCTGAGTGCCGGCAGGTGATAAACAAGCTAAACTTATTCTCACCCTTTGCTGTCTCCAGATTTTGGGGGGGTGGGGATGGGGTGGGAGAGGGTAAGACACAGCCAAGTGCTTTTCTTGCCTGCCCATTGTCATTTTTATCTTCCGACCTCAAAGATCTGGCTATCAGAGTAATGATTCATTTGGTCTTATGATAATAACTGTTGATTAGAGCAGCTGACACTATTTGAATGTAGAATGAAGGAGGGTAGTGTTTTACCCAGGGCAACAGGCACAGCATTTTAACACAGATATTTACAGTTTAGGAGTTTAATTCACATCACCCTTTCTTAGTGTGTTCTACAAGTACCATACATTACATTTTGTTACCATGTGTAATTTATATGTAATATATGTGTGTGATACAGGTGCGACGGTAGTTTTTCGCCACATTAACTCATGAGGCTTACCTTCTGGGATCTTTTTGTGAGAGTCACTGTAAACAACTTTTCAGGGGGAAAAAATGGATGTGTCAGTTTTTGTACTCAGCTGTGTTGTGTATATTAAAACTGATGTGTTTGCTATAGAAAGCCCAGGTAACTTGGGAGCTGCTTGCTGAAGCTGCAAAGCAGGGAAATAAGTTAGTCTAATTCGAGTTCCCAGCTCTACTGCTGTCCCAACCCCTTGGTGATGGCGGGGTAGGAACCCTAGGAACCCAAGCTCCCCAGCACTTTGCTTCCCACTTTGTTTGGCTTCTGTGATTGGATACACTCCTCTCTGAGGATCCAGCTTTGAATTCCCTTTGACAGAAGGCAGGGCTGACGTGAGAAGATGCGCTGTGAAACCTTCCTCGGGAGCCCACATCCTGCCAATGAGATGGCTTGGTAACCTGTGCAGCCCCTTCACTTTCCTGAAAGCCCGAGAGCAGAGGAAGGATGCTTGCGAGGGTGTGTAGGCCAAAGGTGGAGCCTTGACTTCCTGGTTCTGGGGCTCAGGTAGTGGCCTCCGCCCTTCACGCTGCTGGCAAGCACCGGGTGCTTTCCAGGCCTGACTGTCAGAAGCGCTGTGTGGCTGAATCCCCCTAGTCGGCCACAGGCTCGGCCGCTTCAAAATGGAGACACTTCCAGATGGGCCTGGGCAATTTACAAACTAAACAAAACATTTTACAGTTAAATTCTGGAGAGAGGCACGTACCTTGTCGCTGGTCCTGATTACATAGGACCAGGTTCTTAGTTTCAGAACAGTGACAATGATTTCTTTTTGAAAGCACCGAGGGACAATTGGAATACCGCTAAGCGGTTACGGTACAAGAATGATCAGAAACAACCCAAACGCTCTGGTGTGTAACCCAGCATGGACCAGAGTCACTTAAAATTAGTCATTGTCTAGTTGTCTCCTCCGCTGGCTCACAGGAGCCCTTTTCTCTGGGACCGCTGGATGTGTCCTAATGGCTAGCAGTGTCAGAGTGCCCTATATTGACAGACAGCCTTCCCAGGGGCTCAGGAAATGTTTGGATGGGACCCTGGGGTCAAGAGGAGAGAGTTTCTTCTATGTATTTTGCAGACAAGAAAACTTCATCTTCCTTCCTGCCCCTCTCCCACTCCTCACATCACCCACTTATTTCCTTCAGTGCCTGAAATTCCACTGAGAGATGATTTATTTTGGATTAAGTGGTGACCCTTATTAAAATGGAAATTTAAAAAATGTTCCTGGGAGGTGGATTCAAGTTGTCATGAGTACTTTAATACGAACTATTCTATCAGATACTTTTACCTAGCAGAGATCCGCTTGGCCAGCTGAGGGTCTTAGAAGGGTCAGAGGGAAGGTAGGGTTGGAAGGGATTCAAGGATAGTTTGTCTTCACATCTCGGGTTTTTCCCCAGGCCTGGCATTGTCTGCAGTCGGGGCCAATGTGATTTCTTTTTCTATCCAGATTCTTCCAAGATTGAAATGGCCTTGACCTTTCCTTCAGGACCCACAGCACCCTTTCATCTATTCTTTTTCTAGGGTCTTTTCCTATGTTGTCCTGGCCACCCTGCTAGTTTCAATGAAGCCTGGCACAAAATTAATTCTGACTAGTTATCCCCCAAAGCAGGGGCTTTCCTAAAGCCTCATCAAAATCAGCCAGGGTTTAGGGAGGGGGAACTTGTGAAAAAGAGTTTCCCAGGCTTTCTCCCCAGTGGAAGGTCAGCATGCGCGATTGTGTCGGAGGCAGGCTGTGTTGTCCTTGGCTGCCTTTGAGGTGGCCCACTCCTCCCCCCACAGTCCTGTACTGCCGAAGTAAACACTGATCAGTCCTCTGCCATTCTCATGATCTGTTGCACATCGGACCATTGTGATCCAAAGGGCTTTCATTGCCAGCCCCTGGAGAAGCACATCATGCTCTGTAAAGCGGAGAGCCATCCAAACAGAGCAAGAGCCTGGGTGAGATGGATTGACATAGTGGCTGCAAGCAGGGGCGCACACATAAAACAAGTGAGAAGGAGGCGCAGGCCCCTTTGGGTGGTATGTGTAAAAGGGTCGATATGAGTCAGCAACTCCATGGCACTGAAACAACAGCCATTTCGGGAATTGTTGGAATGCTGCATGAAAGGCCAGAGTCCTCCGCCGGAACCATCACTGTTCACATTGGAACCCTTGTACCCAATATCATACTGTTTAAAAGAGCACTGGTTAGTGTGCGTCTCCTTTACAAACTCACATTTCTGGTTTCGACCCTCCATGAGTTGAACTGGGGCAGAGGGGAGGGGCTAGTGGGGAGAACTCCAGGCCACGCTATGCAGGTGGTTTGGGGGCCATGCTTGAAAAACCGACAGGAGTCAGTAGTTGTGCAATTTTGTCTCCAGAGAACATGGCACTGCGTGGAGAACCAAGGCTCCCTTCTGGCGCTGACCATGGACATTTCATCTAATAAGAAATCTGAGGCCCCTTTCTTACTCCAACTTTGGCACGTCTCTCCTCGTGGCTATTCTAAGAAACACGCGGTTCTCAGTTTATGAACGCTGTGTCCGCGGCCTAGTGGTTATGCGCTTGCCGCTAACGACAAGGTTAGCATCCGAAACCATCAGCTGCTCCTTGGGGGAAAGTTAGGGGTTCCTACTCTTTCCCATGAAGACTTACAGGCTCAGCAACCACCCTGTTCGATTGGGCCGCTATGAATCAGAATAGAAGTGCTGGCAGTGAGGTTTGGGTTTGTTGTCTGGGAGACGCCGGGAAGACAGCCTGAAGAGGCCATCTAGTTCCTGCGCTTCTGGGTGGAGGGTGATGGAGCAGAAGTGACAGGGCTTTCACTGTTTCATGCCTTAGACTCCCGGGTGAGACTGAGACGGCAGCTCCCCAGCCCAGGCTGGGATGCGAGCAGGTGAGCTGTGAGGTGCTATCTGGGTGGTTCTTTATTTTTTGAACACATTTTATTTTTAGAGCAGTTTTAGGTTTAGAGAAAAAAGAAACTGCACAGGGAACCCAACACCCCCATTCCTCCGCATACAGTTTCTCCTGTGCTCATGTGAAATTGATGAACAAATATTGATATCCTTTCATAAAGGAGCCCTGATAGCGTTGTCAGGTAACCGTTGGCCTGCTGACCACTAGGTCAGGGGTTCATAGCTACCAGCCACTCTGCGGGAAAAGATCGGTTAGTTTGCTCCTGTAGAGATGTGCAGCCTCAGAAAGATTATATAGGGTGGCTGTGAGTCGGAATTGAATCCGTGACAGTGAGTTGTTGTTTTCTTATAGAGAGTGGGGGGTGATATTAATGAAAGGTTGACTCTTCATGTTGTACAGTGATGCAGGTTTGGGTGAATGCATAGTATCCATTACCCAGTATAACAATTTCATATCATACAGGATAGTTTTAGATCCTTGTCTCCCTTCCCCGAGCCACTAGAACTCAGTGAATTCTTATGGTCTTAATAGTTTGTTTTTACTATCTTGACATAGTTTTTTTTTTTGACAAGCTTCTTTGACTTAGCCATGTGCATTCCAGTGTCTTCCACGTGTTTCTAGACTTTGATACTTTTTTCTTTTTGTTGCTGGAGAATGCCATTTGTTCATATAGCCTGGCTTGGTTGTTCACTTAGGTTGGGAAAATGATGAATGAGGCTGCTAAAAGCATTTGTGGGCAGGTTCTTGGGGGACACAAGTTTTCAATGTCTTTGAGTAAACACTTAGATGGAGAAGTTGCGGGATCGTATGGTAAACCTACCACTTTAGCTTTGTCAGAAATTCACCAAAGTGGTTGAACCATTTTGAACACTTGGCAGCAGTGAGTGGAGATTCCCTTTTCTTCACGGCCTCTTCAGAAGTTGATAATGGTAGTGTTTTGAATTTTAAGTTGGGCTGCTTACAGCAAGGTTGGTGCTCTGAACCCACCAGCCGATCCAAGAGAGAAAGATGAGGCTTTCTGCGCCCCTCGAGATTTGTAGCATCGGAGGCCCACAAGGCGCAGGTCTGCCCTGCCCTCCAGGGTCACTATGAGCCTGGCAGTGCGTTTCTGTTTTCCCTTTGTTCTGTAGGTTTTGATGTGCAGTGTCCTAATGACACACCAAGGAAGCCTGGTGGCAGCGCGTTAAGACCTTAGCTGCTATCTGAAAAGTCACGGTTCCAACCCACCAGTCGG